CAACCCGGGGCGGCGTGGAAGCCCTCCGCCTCCCCTCCTGCAGCGCCTTCCCCCGGGAAGCCAGGAGGGCTGCTTTAAACGGCAAAGCAAGCGAGCTAGGATGGTAGCTGCAAGGCAGGCGTTGCTTGCGTTTCCCCGGGGGGGGGGGGAAAGTCCTTAATGGGGGACCCACCGGGAGGCAGGAATGTAGTTGCGCAAAATGGTGTCACTTATGTTCGAGGGTACGTTTTGGAGCATTCACACTCCCCCCCCCATTATAAAATTTGGAGCGATGGTTTAGGATGCAGCGCTGTTAATCAGCAGTGGGCGAAGAGGCTCCGCGGAGCAAGTCCGTGCTGCTCAGACCCGACCAACTGGCGAATTGGGCAGCCTTACCTAGTTACTCCTTTTTCTGAAACTCTGCAGTGGTAATACGGATAGAGCCAGAAAACAATCACAGATGCAAACGTCCTTTCAAAAAGCCATTGGATGTCTCAGAGCTGTACCACTTTAACTGTGGGGGTGCTGTCTCACCCAGCTAGGCACTCCATATACTTTTCAGAAGTTTGTGCCTTCTTTCAGTTAATTATGTCCTTTTGTAGAATTTTAATATCTTGATGTGGAGAGAAATTTTGCCTATTCTGGCTGTGAACATCAGTAACAAATGTATATTCCTAACTGGATTTTTATGCATGTTCAGTGAAGATTAAGACTAGAGTGAGTCCCCATGCATTTTTGGCCCAAAGAAAACAGCATACCTACAGTTCAAGGATTCTTGCTTTGATTTGATGAATAATCCAGTCCTCCAGACTCTCACTCCTATTGGTGCAGTGCTGAGCTATCCTAGATTAACAGAACAATCCACGCTTCTGCAGTTAACCATGAACATGCTTTGGAAGATTCAGGAGGAAATTAGTATGTACAGCAAGATAGAGTATAAGCACTTATGATAAGTTAAAGCTGCTTAGGCAAAACTATACACTATAGCCCATATGTAGATGTTAGTTGTATGTAATTTATGTAAGTATGCCAAAGTTTTGCATCTCAGGTAAGCTCACCGCATAAGATAAAAGCTTGAGTTGATAGTGGTAAGGTATGTGCTGCACCTTTTCTTCAAAACTGTTTATTAGAAATTGGCTTCATTCAAGCATGCTAATATATATCACCAGCCTTTGGGTGATCACAGTTATAAATGTGAATATTGCAAAGCTTATCTTAAGAAGTTTAACTGTACAAAGATTTATCTTTATATACCACTGTTTACCTGGACATACAGAACAACTTTGGCACAAATAGTCACGAGGCCCAAGTAGTAGATCCCTATATTTGCCAGTAGGCCTGAATAATAAAAACAGGCCTTTGGTTGTTATGTTCTGAAAAAAAAACACAGAAATTTAGGTTGGATTTGTCAATGTGAATAACAATAAAATGTAGGTAACAATTGTTACCTAAAAATCTTCAAAATGTGCAGAAATGTCAGTGTGTTACCTTGTTTTAGACTTCATTCTTATGTTCACTTACCTGGAAGTAAGACCCATTGAATAAAGTGAGTTTATTTTTAGGATTTAATTATGAAACATTTCACAGCATATTAATAAATATCTTGTATAAAATTAATTACATAATTTGCAAATAATTCAATTTAAATAGCAGCTGGATCTATTGTCATATCCTTTAATTGCTCTGCTAATTTTCACTCCTGATTTAGGATTTTGGTAACTATGGAGAACATTATGTTCCTGCTATGTGTTTGCCCTGAATTTTCACAGAACAATTTAATAAGACATTTTATGTGATATTAATGCAAATAGTAATTTCTGTATAATTTTCTTTTCAGTTTGTGAATGAGCCTCGATGATTATGGATCCAGGTGGTGGAAGTCTTGGTTTGCAGACCCAGGAATCCAAAATGCCCCACACTATGATTATGCAGGATTTTGGTAAAAGCAATACCATACTCACACAAAATTATTATTAGCTAAAGTATTTACTTATTAGTTGCATTGTGTCGCAAATGAATAATCTGCAACATGAGTGCCAAAACTGGGATGGGGAATAGGAATTTAGGTTATTTTGGGGCAGGCTTACGGGGCTCACTTCCTGCTACCTTTCCTATGCTGCACTGTGGTTAGCTGCATGCTTCAATCAGTTACAAGCAAAGCCACATCCGGGTGTGGAGGATATATAGTGCCCATTAAAGAAATCCTTGTTCTGAATTTGACAATAAGGTGACAAAATAATTATTTTAAATAATACCACTGTATTAAATTTCTGAAATCAGTTGAATTGGAATATACCACATTTGGTACTAGAAGGTAGCTAACCTGAATATTTAAAATTCTCAGTCCAGCCTACAGACCTGGTATTTCCTGGTGGACTAATTGGGTCCCAACACTTACGTGCATATTTCCATCCAGCTGCAGAATTCTGTTATTGCATCTTTTTAAAGTTAATGATAAATATACTAGAAGGCTGGAGAGTACTTCTGATAACTCTATTCATTAGCTTTATTCCTTAGGAATGTATTATTATAGAATACCAAACAAGTATTAATATGCTTCCTCATTCATTATTGTTTCATAGTGGCTGGAATGGCTGGTACTGCTCATATTGATGGAGATCATATTGTTGTGTCAGTCCCTGAAGCTGTACTAGTTTCAGATGTTGTCACAGATGATGGGATAACACTTGATCATGGCTTAGCAGCTGAAGTTGTCCAAGGACCTGATATCATAACTGAAACTGACGTTGTTACAGAAGGAGTGATTGTTCCTGAATCTGTATTGGAAGCAGATGTTGCTATTGAAGAAGCATTAGATACTAGTGATCATGTTTTAACTTCAGATTTAATAACAGAAACTGTTAGAGTACCCGATCAAGTTTTTGTGGCTGATCTTGTTACGGGTCCTGATGGACATTTGGAACACGTGGTACAAGATTCTGTATCGGGACCCGATTCTCCCACAATGGTATCAGAAGAAGTTCTTGTGACGAATTCGGATACCGAAACTGTGATTCAGGCAGCTGGCACTGTTCCTGGTTCCACTGTTACTATCAAGACTGAAGATGATGATGATGGCAAGAGCACATCTGAAGACTATTTAATGATATCTTGTAAGTGAAGTAAAGGTATATATGAAATTATCTACTCAGACTAGAAGTGATTTAACGATTAGAGATGTAATTGTATAAAAGTACTGTGTTTTGTTGTTTCATATTAAGGAAGACATTATAAATGAGTTAAAAGAAACTTCAGGGTAAAAAAAAATGTGGAGGAAACTGGAAATGTTTAGGCTAAAACAATTCTAACCTTCAGCATGCATACATTGTCTCAGCTGAGAATAATGGGTGTAGCTCTTCCCTGGGCTGATTGCTTTTATTAGCTTCCACTTGAATTCCTCCTTTTCAACCCTTAACTATAGTTTACAAGTATGTTAAGATGAGTATTAATTCCAATTAACTTAAAAACTATGGTTAAAAGTAATTTCATATGGCTGTAAAAATAACTGTAGTTGATATTAAAATAGCTAAATATGCTTAATGCTAAAAAGGGAAGAAGAGGGTCATGGAGGCCAGGAGGAAAGAAGGATGAGAAAAGAGGTGCATCAAATCTCTTTATCATGATTAAAATCAACATGGAAATCATTTCTTTTTAAATATGCCAAGAAAATGTTAGGAAAAGAATGTTCATCTCATGTTGCTGCTAAGTAGGTACCATCTGCTTCTGGTTTCAAGTTAAATGCATTTATTTAGCAGTCTGTTGCCTGTTTATTTTAGTTTTTATTTATTTATCAATTTATAGACTGCTGCAATCCCAAAGGACTCTCCATGGTTTTCAAAATAAAATACACAATAAACAATATGTAATAAAAATACACAAGTAAATGGTCTGCAAGCCAATTAAAAACACCGAGTAAAATTAAATAAATATGGTATCATGGCCCAAATGCCCTCTAGAAGAGCTTAGTTTTGAGCTGCTCCTGGAAGGCAACCAGAGTGGGAGCCAACCAGATGTTCACTGGGAGGACATTCCAGATGATCAGTGCTGCCATAGAAAAGCCCCTCCCCCAAAGTGGGAAAAAACTAGTAGTTTCTCCCTGGTAGATCAAATTGGGTAGGCCGATTCCAATGTGAGAATGGGGTCCTGCTGATAACCTGATGCCAAACCACATACAGCTTTATAGGTTAGCACCAGTACTTTAAATTGCACCCGGAAGCCTATCCATAACCAGCATAGGGTCCACATCACCGGTATAATGTATTCCCACTGGCAAAAGGTGATTAGCACACTGACCACTCCTCTCTGAACCACCTACAGCCTCTTAGTGATCTTCAAAGACAGCCCCACACACAGCACGTTGCTGCAGTCTAAATAGGTGGTGATGAGGGCATCAATCACTGTAGCAAGGTCCTCCTGCTCCAGGAAGGGCTGCAACCGGATACCACACAAATCTGTTCATAGTCCCCCCACCCCCCCAGCTTTAGTCAGCATGTGCTGTTCTACTAGGAGGGTTAGTCCAGAAGGACCCCCAGGTCACAAGCTTACTCATTCAAGGTAGTGACACCCACGTCCAGAGATTTGTTAGTAGACCACAAGGAAATGAATAGTTGGTACCTAATACAAGCCTATTCATAAACATTTTCATTATGATTCAGGTATTTAAAAAAATAAAGTTTAGCTACTTAGGTTTTATTAAAAAGAATGAAAATTGAGAAACTACTTTGGAATTTTCTTTCAAATAAGTATCAAACATATTACTGTGACTTCTTCATTTATGAAGCTGTTTCTACCTTCAGAATGATTAGATCAACATAATGGTCAATAATATGCCAAAGAAATTTAGAAAATAAACTAGCCTGTGTTGTAATACAGTATCATTCTTCAGGTTTTTAATTGTCATATCTGCTTAATTACTGCCAAAACTATAGATGAATGATTTGGAAGTTGTATCTGCCTTCTCTGCTCTCAGGAGGAGCTAGTGGGCATGTGGGAAGCACTAAATAACCATGTTATTGCTTAACCATTTTAGGGTTAAATACGATCTACAAACGAATATATTTCTGTATTAAAGAATGATAATTGTGACAAATTGAGAACTTTTCCAGCAAAATATTTCATTCTGCATAAGCACAGCCTATCGACAATACATGTTTAATTACCTAGTATTTTATAGAAATATATATTTTACATATTTCATAGAAGTTACTTTTTTCCTAAAAGTGAAGTGCTGTAAATACTTAATTTGTCATAATGATGAAGATTTCTTTTCACCTTCAATCAAAAGAGTTCATGGTAAGGATATAACATTACGCACAGACATGAAACAGTGAGAAATCTTCACAATTGTAACATGACAAATCTGATTGATTTTACAGTAAATAGAATATTTTCCTGATATTTATTTATTTATTTATTTATTTATTTATTTGAAAAGAGAGGCCCATATTTAAAAGGCTACATTTTTAAAACTCTTACCTAAAGGGTTGGACTAGACGATCTCGGGGGTCCCTCCCAACTCTGCAGTTCTGCAGTTTTACGGTCTAGTGTTTATAGCGGCCAGTGACGGGAATTCAGAAAGAGTGTACAAGAAAAATTTGCCACACAAAGAATAAAACACCCTCCTTTGTTTTTGTTTTTCAGGTTTGTGATGTTCAGACCCCCACAGTGGATTGCTAGCTTTTGAGCCATAGGATGGTACTGCATGCACATGCTGGTGATCCTATACCCACTACAGAGCCACACTGGAGCTGTCCTTTAGGGATAAGGTAATATTCCACCGCCACCTCCTTTTAAGAATCGGTTACAGTATAGCAGGGGTGGGCAACTTTTTCTCGGCACTGAGCCATTTCCCTTCGCTGACCGTCTGGTCTTGCCTTCACCCAATTGGATTCCGCTGCCTTCAATCGTGCCAGTATAAGAGTATGGCAAGGTGGTGGAGTATCTTGCTACCCGTCCAGTGCGTAGAGTTACAATGTGGTTTACGGCCACATAGACCGCAGCTTGGAAATGGGCCATAAAACGACCGGTTGGACTACATTTGACACGTTGGCCAAAAGTTATTCACCCCTGCAATACAGCATTGCGTAGTCTGCTACAACTATAAGTACAATCCTATTCTGTTCCCTTCTGAGAGAGCAGTAAGGAAAGTCAGATTTTTTAAAAACAAAAAAAATTGCACAGCTGTAAATTATGGCATGTATCTCATGGTTTCTATGGTGGGTGTGATATCACCAGCATAGTGCATGCTGAGACATCACATGAATTGGGAGCTGGCAATCCACGATGAATCTGAACATCTCACACCTGGAAACAGCTAAGAAAGGTAAGTTAGAGGTGGTTAAGACTTCCTTATAATTTTTCTTTGTCAATAGATATTCCTTCCTACATAAATATTTCTGTAGAAGATTAGTCCTTACAAGTCCCTGGGTTGTAAACAAATTAATAGATCATCAATGACATAAGGAAAGAAGCTTTAAATAATTGTGTCCCCCCCCCCCCCCCCCC